GATGAGCCCGGAGGACGCAGTGGGCAAGAGAGGAGGAGTTAGCATAGCGATAGGTTAGAGGCAGCCATAGCTGCCATAGCTGTAGTTAGTAGTGAGTGTGTGAGTGTGCTCGAGCGTTAGAGTGATAAGATATCCAGGGTGATCCAGTGTATGTGAACAGTGAGATGTTTGTGCGCTGAAGTCGCCATAGCCAATTGAGAGTGAACTCGTATCTGAAAGCCATATCTCTGAGTTTTGAGTGGGCGCATGTCGCCAGTATGCTGCGTTGCTGTTTACATGCATGAAAAGTGTGTTTGAAAACGAGTCTGATTGCATTATCAGACTTATCATTAAATCGCAAGTTGCAATTTTTTTTCTTTTTTCTCACACTTACATAGTAAGTAGGTCGTTAAATTATAATTTTTGGTTTTGCGACTTTTTCTCCATATTGTGCAAATTAGGGAATCGTTAATTACGAGTAACCTAATTATCGCTAATTAGGGTTAGTCCTAACCTAATCTAAACGGCCTATCAAACCTATGGGAAGTAAGTGCCAGCCAGGCACCACTCCAATTAAGGCAGATCGGGCCTGAGCACAGCCACATTCAAACTGCAACTTAACGAAACTGTCACTTTTTGCAAAACGCATCTTTTATTGCGTTTAAAGGTTGAATCTTTCCAGCAAATTGTGTATCTTCCTACTACCATTCATCTTCTACTTACTTAGTGACCTCGTGATGATGCTAAATTCTCCCGATTAAATTTCGTGAAATTATTCAAGTTATGTTTAAATGTTTAAACTTGCTTAATGTAACCAGCGTAAGGCTGAGGGTGAGCCGAGGGAGAGGAGAGAGAGGGAGAGAGTGAGAGCACACACACACACTCAACGGACTCGGACTGAGGATCGGACACAGACACAGTGGCAAGGCACAAAGTCCAAGTCTTGGATTCCCGAATGCCGAAAACAGCAAGTCACACTGAGTACGAGTACAGCAGCAGAGAACTGGTACGAGACTGCCCCCGTGCCGTACGGGGAGCCGGTATAATTACCGGTGACACGTACGGTACCAGGGGCATTTCTGCAAAGGCCCCCGAGGGCAGAACCGAAAAATGCAGTATTTGAAAGTGGCGCCCGAATTGCAGCATGGCGCCAGTTGTCCGAAATCCTACGGTACCAAAGGAGGAGTTTGGAAAAAGGGCGCCAGGCCGAAAACGGGATGCAGCTGAAACAGCAAAAAGATAGACCAGGGATCAAGCCCTGGCGAAGTCCGTAACACTTAAACTTTATTCATTTTTATTTGTGCAAATTTAAATATTCTTTAATTAAATATTTAACTTTTGCAAAGTTTATTATTGCAAATTTAAATATTTTTTAATTAAATATTTAATCTTTTGCCAGAATTAAAATTTTATTAACTTGTATTTTTCGATTAAATTTTATTTCATTTCTCAAAATTCAAAATTTTCGTCGGGGGGGGGGGAAATTTTCTTTTCTCTTTTTGATTACTGTCAAATTTCGAGGTCAGGGGAGAAAGGGACTGTCTGTGCATTGTTTGTTCGCCTCTCTGCCCTTCCTCCACCCGTACCTTCTCTCTCTCCTCCTCTCGGTGCTACGGACGTCAGTCTCCGGCCACGTAAGCATTGTGCCACATCAGCAGCGGGCCACGAACGCAGATTGCGACATCAGCCGCATGCCACCTCAGTGTGCCATGACAGCCGAGTGCCCAGTCAGCAGCGGCCACCTCAGCACCACCACATCAGCAAGTGCCACCTTAGCGGTGACACATCAACAGCAGACGAAGACCAGAGTACTTAATGCGCCGCAGTCAACGACTTGCGGAGCGCGGATCCGCAGGAACCAAGCCCCAACAGGGACCTAAGACACCTCGGATCCTGCGCAGGCGACGCACGACCATGGCTGCTACCGCTGGCGTCAATGCACAAGCCAGCCCCAAGAGGCCGGTTACCCCTCCTATCCCAGTTCAGCAGACTGATGAAGCGCTACTAGCGTTTCTCAAACGTCTCCAGCTCTACTCAGAGACCACAACAGCTGAACTAAGCAAGTGGGACGAGGAGGAAGCTGCCCGCCAGCAGGAAATTCAACGCCAGCTGGCAGAGGCAGAGGCAGCACGTCAGCAGGCCGCAGCAGAAGCTGCAGCAGCCACACGGTTGCAACAACAGCAGGCCGAGGCAAGCCAGAACCAAGTTCGTTATCAATCACAATGGAGCTCGCCAACGAAGAAACCACGTATCGGAGGATACTCCGACAGCAGCACTTTCGAGCAAACGAAGAACAAGAGGAGCCAACCGAGGAAGAGAGAGACAAGGAGGCCACAACAGTTTTGATGGAGAATCTGCTGTACACGTGCAATTGGCAGCAACGTGAACTGCTGGCCATGCGGCAGGTCTTCATCCGCCACGAAACAACGTTTAAAGCACTGGACAAGAAGATCGCTACACTGCAGGCCGAGATCAGCACACTACAGGCCGCCAACAGCCAGCAGCAGACAATCAACGGCCAGCTGCAGAACGATGTCAGCACAGGGTTGGCACGACTATCGGCAGCTGCGTCGGCGGGCAGCGCAGTAGCAGACTGCAGCCCAGCCTTGGCCGCGCAGGCCAAGCAACTCGAGGAGCGGATCAACCACGTGGTCGCATCCCTCGGCGACATCAGCAAGTTTGTTGGAGCGTTGACAGTCAGCAATCAGCTGCAGACGCTCAGCGACCGCGTTCAGCAACGACCGGCCGCCGTCGCCAAGGAATGGAAGATGCCGAACTTCAAGATCGAGAAGTTCGACGACTACCACAAGACTGATCCGCTACAATGGTGGATGGCATTCAACGCAGAGGCGGACGTACACCACACCCCACCACTGCGGCGGCTTGACGCACTCTACCTCCAACCCGGTTCATGGTCAACAACGACAAGTCGCCTTGAACAAGATCTTCCGCATGTTTCAAGGCCAGCAACCTTCACGGGAGTGGCTGACGGAGTGGCAAAGACTCGTCGCCACCCCGGAGTTGAACTTATCGTTCGATGCAATCCGGGCCGAATTCTTCGCTCGGTCATGCGACGCCTTGACAGCTGCTCTGGCAGCGAATTCCAGTATGAGACCTTTGATGGCATGATCTCAAAGGCAAGGGAGCTCATACAAGGTAACCAGCGTGCGGCCAATGAGACCCGCCAAATACCCGGTTACGTGGAGAAAGGCAAAGGTCAGCGGACGCCGCAAGTAGCAGCAGTCCAGCAAGGACCTAGTGAGGACCACGCAGCCACGTCTACATTAAGTGACGGAGATGTGGCGGCAGCGATACCACCGCAACGCTCAAGACCCCGAGAGGGAAAACAAAAGGCGAAACCAGCGTCGGCGGATGTAGCACGACAGACACCATGAACAAAGTTCGGCATTACCGAAGACATGTTCCAGTTGTGACAGAAATGGGGATGCTGTTCTTGGTGCAACAGCACCAAACACATCACCAGCCCATGCCTCGACAAGGACAAGGAAAATGTCAAACGTCCAAGCTCGGGAAACTGAGCACCGCGGGAAGTGCAGTGACATCACTTCCCAATCCGCCGGAGTCGGCTGCCTTGCTAGCAGTCTCTCTCACATCCGGGGATGACACGGTAGTCGCAAGTTCTCGTATTGATTTTGAGAACTATGCTGTTGAGCTGGTCCCACTGTTGAACCAGCCTCTTCACGTGCAAGATTCAAGCGCATGCGCGGTAGTTCCGCCGTCGGACAACGAACCGGTTGCTTCGCCAGCCCTTCTATCGGAGGATCCGTCACTTTGGGCGAGTCTTGAGGAACTCGACCCGTTGACGGTTGAGGAATTCCAATGGTTGCCTCTTCCCTCCACCGGTTCTTTGCCAACTTCGCATTGAAACGCCTTAATGGCACATTTCTGCGAATACTTGCACGCTGCAGTACCACCTTCGTCGACAGACGGCGGAGTAGCGGTTGTTGACCTTCGTAGCTATCTTGCGAAGATCGACCGTGAGCACGCAACGCAACGGTACGTCGACATCGACGTGCCGCTCCTCTACATCCGCATTCAGATCGGAAAGGTGACCTGTAGTGCCTTGATCGATTGTGGAGCGTCTCGCAACTACATCAGCCAAGACTTCATGGCACGCGCCGGGCTTGGCCCGCGCGTTCGAAGGAAAAGTCAGCCTACGCACGTCACGTTGGTCGATGGTCACACGCAAAAGTCAATCGACCGATGCGTTGACTCGGTGGCCGTGTACTTTGCCCCGCTAGCATGCGAGGCCGTGTCATTCGACATATTGGACACTAAGTTCGATATGATCTTAGGCATGTCGTGGCTGCAAAGCGAAGACCATCCGGTGAACTTCTATCGACGCACCGTTCACGTTCGTGATCGGCGAGGCGAATTAGTTCCGTGTACGGTGCCGCTTTCTCATCCTTCGATTGTTTGTCACTTGGTCTCCGCGGCGAGCATTCGCCAATCCATCCGGCGGAACGACATCGAGGAAATGGGCATATGTTTTCTTCACGCCCTCCCACCCGGTGATCAGCCCAAGACGGATACGTCGGACCCACGCATCATTGAGCTGTTGGACAACTATGAGGATGTCTTCCAAGCTCCCGCCGGAGTAATACAGGATCGGCCCATACGCCACGGGATCACTCTCGAGGACGGTGCCGTAGCTCCACGCGGATGTATCTACCGCATGAGCGAAGAGGAGCTTCAAGTGCTTCGGGCACAACTAGACGACCTCTTGGCCAAGGGCTGGATTCGCCCTAGCTGTTCGACATACGGTGCTCCCGTTCTCTTCGTCCGAAAGAAGAACAAGGACCTTCGTTTGTGCATCAACTATCGGAAACTTAACGCGCAAACAATCAAGAACGCCGACCCTCTCCCTCGGATCGATGACCTTTTCGAGCGACTAGGCGGCGCCAAGTACTTCTCGAAGCTTGACCTCCAGTCCGGATATCACCAGATCGAGATCCAACCAAGAGATTGGTACAAAACCACATTCAAGACGCGGTATGGGCACTTTGAGTGGATCGTCATGCCTTTCGGTCTCACCAATGCCCCGGCTACTTTCCAAGCGGCGATGACGACGAAATTCCGCAACCTGCTCGACCTCACCGTACTCATTTACCTTGATGATCGCTTGGTTTATAGCCGGACGCTGGACGAGCACCTCGAGCACCTTCGCGCCATTTTGGAGCGGCTCCGTATCACCAAGTACAAAGCAAACCGCGACAAGTGCGAGTTTGCCCAGCAAGAGCTGGAGTACTTAGGCCATTACGTTACGTCACAAGGCATCCGTCCGCTCGCGGACAAAGTACAACCCATTCAAGATTGGTCGGACCTCAAGTGTACTACCGACGTCCGCTCCTTTCTTGGCTTAGCATCATATTACATGCTGTTTGTCAAAGGGTTTCAACGGATTGCTGCACCATTGTCGCGACTTCAGTCCCCCTTGGTGCCCTTCGAGTTCAATGACGAAGCCCGACACGCGTTCCATATGCTGAAGACGACCTTGCTCCAAGCTCCCGTCTTCAGCATCTATGACCCGACCTTGCCTACCAAAGTGACTATGGACGCTTTCGGCTACGGCACTGGCTCGGTTTTGAAGTAGCATGACGGCACAGACTGGCATCCGGTTCATTACTTCAGCCAAAAGGTGCCGCCCATCAATACACTTGATGATGCGAGGAAGAAGGAACTGCTAGCTTTCGTCACCGTACTTAAGCGTTGGCGTCACTTCCTCCTCGGGCGTCGGCTATTCACGTGGGCAACGGACAACAATCTGTTGACTTATTACAAGACACAAGACACGGTGAGCAGCACGATCGGTCGGTGGATGTACTTCATTGACTTCACCTCCAAACATATACCTGGCTCCTCGAACAAGGCAGCGGATGCTCTCTCGCGAAGACCTGATCTTTGCGCTTTGGTGCACTCCACATTCGGCCTCGACGAGGACCTGCAACAGCATTTCGTAAACGGCTACAAGTCGGATCCGGGATTCTCCACACTCTATGCGGACTTATCATCGAATCACCCGCCGGTAAGCAATTATCGCATTGTCGACGACTACTTGCTCCTCCATACATGAGGCAAGGACTTGTTGTGTGTTCCCCAAGACCGCATCTTGCGCACTCGCCTCCTTGGCGAATACCACGATTCACGACTGGCGGGACACCTTCGCGTTGCACGCACGCTTGCACGACTCCACCAGCGATTTCACTGGCCGGACATCATCAGCGACGTCAATCGGTACATTCATTCATGTGCAGTTTGCCACCGGAACAAAGGGCGCCATCAGCTCCCATACGGCGAACTGAAACCATTGCCGATTCCTCGGGAACCGAGTCTCTCCATTGTTCTGGATGTGACCAGCCCTTTCCCTCGCGATCGCCTTGGCCATGGCGGTATTCTCACGGTCGTTGACCGTTCGAGCAAGTACGCTTGATTTCTTCCATGCAAGTATCATGCGACGGCTCTCGAGCTCGCACGACTTTTGCATACCGGCTGGTTTTGCAGCCACGGCATTCCGGAAGACGTCGTCAGCGACCGCGACACTCGTTTCATGTCAGCCTTTTGGACGACACTCATGGTAGAATCCGGCACCAGCATGAAACCAATGTTCCGCACGACATCCTCAAACGGATGGGCAAATGGAACGTGCGCACCAGATTGCGCCGATGATGCTCCACACCCTCATCCGACCGGATCAGAAGGATTGGGTTGACCACCTTCCCGATATCGAATTCGACTACAACACTTTGGTGCACAGGCGATTGGCGTGATTCCATTCGAGTTGCATCACGGTGGACGGAAAGGACGTATCTTCACAGACATTTTGCTTCCACGGGCTGCTAATATTGACGCCGCTTGCTCCCCCGCTTCTACACGGAAGTACAGGGAACTGCTGGCCACATCCCTCGCAAACATGCAAAAATTTGAGGTCCGTATGCAGCAGCAAGCGAACCGGCGTCGCATCCCATGTCCAATCCACGCTGGCGACCTGGTTTGGGTCACCTTCAAGGAATTCGCGCTCGAGCAGTACGTCTCGCGCAAGCTCCTCCCCAAGTGGTTTGGACCATGGAAGGTCACTTCAGCAGCTGGCGACGACCCCGCGGGTCCATCTTTCATCATTGAGATTCCCCCGGATTTGACGGTCCACCTGATATTCCATGCTTCAAAGTTGGCGGTCTACACTCTAGCCTCTGCAGCGGACTTCCCGGGCAGACAGTCATAGGACCCTCCTTCAATGGATGGTCATCAGGAGGTTGACCGAGTCCTCGCTCATCGCAAGCACAACAACAAGCCAATGCAGTATAAAGTTACATTCAAGCAATGCGATCCGGACGACACACGCTGGATTTCACGAGCTGACCTGAAGGCGACAGCACCCCTCATCTTCGCGCATTACGAAAAATTGTGACTTGCTAAGGAAGCTGCCCAACCTGCCCGCCCCGTACGGACATCGGACAGACAGCTTCGCCCTCGCAGTTAGCTCGGTCTTCAAGGGGGGGAGTGTGTGGCATTCTGAGCCACACGGGCCCCAGTCAGGGCCCGGTTCTAGATAGGAGGGTAGGACTAAGGGGGACGACGGCTCAGATGAGGCCCAGATAGGCCAGGACGACGGTGGTTCAGGCAGGCCAGGGGTAGAGGCCCAGGCCAACGGCCACAAGGTCGGTACCGGTCCAACATAGGACCTACCGGCGGCGATGCTAAGGCTGCCGCGTTTAGGCGCCAAGTCCAGTTTTAAAATTGGACCGTTGATCAGATCAACGGTCCAGGCCGGCAGGTACCAGCAGGTAGGAGGCCGGCCCAACACTACAAAAGGCTGGGTACCAGCCTCAGTAGGGAGGTTGGTAGACAGAAGTTAGTCTTCAGGATTAATGCAGCATTGCAGCGTTAGTAAGATTAGCGCAGCGCCGCAGCGTTAGTGCGAGCAGCGAGGCGAGATCAAGATAGGGGCGAGGAGGAACCAGCGCAGCAAGGACAGCGCCAGCCACCGGCCCAGCCCGCGGCCCAGCGCCAGCCTCCTGCAGCGCCATAACTACCGGGACACGTACCAGGGAGGAAGGCCTCGCCTTCTCTCCCTCTTCCTCCACCGCCACTCTCTCTCTCTCTCTCTCTCTCTCTCTCTCTCTCTCTCTCTCTCTC